CTCACCCATATCAGCATAGTGCAGTAGTGCGTCTACATGGGAGCTGTTAGATTCAGATAACCATAGCATATCACTCTGATCACAGTTCCTTGCAAAGCTGGGATGCCACTCACATACAGATGGCTTTTCCTCTGCCAGCACCATGGCTTCTGTGGCACAGATACACCAGTGAAAATTGCAGTGCTTTTTCTGACACTCTCATAAGTCAGCTTATTGTCCAGGCAAAAGTAGGGACTCATTTAGAGGCTGCCTCTTTCCTTCTCTGAAAGAACTAATAATGTCACTTTTATCCACAGATATGAATCCCTGTATTTTAAAAATTTTCTAAGTGGCCAAAAGCTACAAGGTTTTGGTCCCTGATCACAACTAGAACTGTATTAAGGAAAAGATCACAAACATTTTCTTTTTAGTTAGTAGAAAAATCTATTTTATAATGTACAAATACTCCAGCAGTAATTGAAGATTGCATCCTGTCACTTATAAATTGTGTTAAACTTTGTAACAGTTTTGGTTTTCCTGCTTATTATGATGGCATGATATTTAGTAGCTGAAATGGAAAAAAAAGGTGTTGACATGTAGCTTGTTCATGTTGTCTCCTGAAAATATCAGGATCACCTACTGGTGTATACTGGTCCCAAATACTGAGTGATGGGGGTTGCTACATGGGATTGCCGCTGGCTTGCCTAATGCCAACAGGAGGGTTGTCACTTACCTGTTGTGAATTAAATTCAGGAAGGCAACCTCGAAAAATGTCTAAGGGAGCCTACATTCTGATTTCAAAAATTGCTTCCTGAGAGTCAATGAGCTAATTACTGCTTGCCAAGGTAGGGTGAGAACCTGCAGCACATCTCTTCTCCCTGGTGCCAGCTAATGCACAAAGGGATCCCAGGATTGCTGCAAGCTGGCTTCCCTTTCCCACAGCCTCACATCCACCAGGAGGTAAGGACACATCTATAACTAGTTACACTGGAATAAATGACTCTTGCAGGTTTATACTCAAACCTTCCCTGTAGGATGAACTCTGTGTCTATCCACACCTTCAGACCTTGGACACTCAGGCCTTTTATACAAGTTCTAAGAGTGGTGATAATCCATAATCAGCTGTGATGGGTTAAAGCTCAGGAGTCCTACAAAATACAGAGGAAGGGCTTCACACTTGGGAATGCATGTAAGGCCACTGCCTTAACTAGCTGATGGATGGTGCATATGCATCCCCTGGGTGGGGACATGCCATAGATGTAGCTGTTCTCTCTATTCAGTGCCGTGTTACTGGAGGGACAGAGACACATCCCTCCAGCTGGCATCACTCTGGATCAGATGCCTAAAAGATATCTGTCAGACATCCCAAGGAAGGTCACTATTGCCTTTCATATCTGTTAATTGCACTGTGTATCTATCTACCTGCATAATGGAACCCTTTCATCCTCTTGTCTGTATGACTCTGGAGATATCAAATTAACTTTTGAATATGGGATTTTGGATCTTCACTCATCTATAGGTATTTTTTAAAATGTTGTCAAGGGACAGTGCACTAAATAGTCTGAAACCTCAATAAGAGGTAGACAACATTTACAGTGCATGGAGGAGAAAGAGGAGAAAATTGCAGCTTTGGTCTAAAAAAGAGCCCAACACAGATGTCTCTAGGCCTTTGATTTTTCTTAAACATGAGGATCAACATCTATAAAGCTGAAAAGGTGGTTTGGGAGGAAATGAAATGGAGATGGAGTGGAAGTCAGGGAGCAGTGTCACATGTAACTGTGCTGTGGAAGCAAAGTGGAAGAATTCAGAAATCAAATAGCAAAGACAGAACTATCCAAAATCCTAGAAAATAATCCATATTTTAAGCACAGATTCAAACCTAGGAAAACTAAGTAATTTAATAAAAAAAGAAGGAAATTGACATTTTTTTCTCTTTATCCTTTAAATAACTGAAAAAGCACCATAGCAAGGCTAAGACTCCTTGTAGAACTTAAATCAAGGGCTGTAAATTGGTGGTGTGACAGCAGTAATACACTTTATTTCACTGATTATCCTCGCACAAGTATCTTGGTCAGGTAATTAATTCACGTGATGAACACTTGACCCAAATTTTTAGGGGTAATCCACTTGGTAATCTTCTAAATACTTGTAGGCAGAAATTTGTAGCAGGGATTTCAATACCTGTACTTCTTTAGTAGTAAGCTGAAATGTTCTGGCCACACTAATCCTCATTAATAAGAAAGCATTTTATAGTGAGACCCACACTGGCAGCGTGTATGTTCCAGGTGAGTGCACTTTAAGCCCATTTTCTTAACATATTTCTTCTTCACTCCCCATAATATGCACTGTTATTTTTACTGGCATTTTTAGCTAACTCCAATTTCATCCCTTATGCTATGTCCTTCTGCATCAAGACTACACAGAGTAAGTGGGATTAATCTGCTTTGAACAAGGCATGTGAAAGTTGGACATCTGGTTCTGAGCTAGGCCTTCTGTGAGTCCTCAATGGGCAGCACAGAAAAAATGGCATCTCCAAGGGATGATTCATCTCACTGGAAGAGCACCATGAGGTCAGTCTGATGACTCATTCCCTGGAGATACTTATTTGTCTCTGATGATTGCAAAAAAAGCCCAGAATGGTCAGCTCGGAGTTGGACACATGACCTAGTTCATGACAGAGGAATGCCACATGGTATTTTAAAAACACTGTAATATTTATGTCAAAAGGCCCCACAGTTGCAGCATTACACTAGACTTTTGGATCCCTACTGCAGAACAGTAGAAGTGTTTTCTTGCCACTCTGCAGAATTTAATAGACCACACACATATTTTGGACATCTCGTATTTTCAAATTCTTCTTCATAAAGCAAATGACATATTGTAACAGATTATACAGGGCTGTGAGAAAACAATGGAAAAGAATGCATGAAAAACATTCCTCAGATCAACTCAAATACAGGAAAATTCTTGAAAAAGGGAAGCTCATTTCACAGTCTCCATGTTTAACAATCTTAGGCATATATATGTGTAAAGCAAAAACATCATCCATCTGTTCATAGCAAGTTTGCAGAGAATTTTAATAAGACATATTAATGCTAATAATGGCCAATGTTTATGAAGTTTATAAAATAACCAATGTGGTGCATCTGTAAAGCTCATAAAATTTGTTCTTATAAAATCCATAGAGTGTAACACCTTTCCCTGAGCCTGATTTTTGCTGACCTTGTCCTCCTAGGCCAGATGTGTCAGAAACTCTCTTCTTCTGGGCATTGCCGTGACAGTGGCACTCTGAAACTCATGTTTTGAAGCCAGACCTATTTCTGGTTTTGTAAGTTCAGCATTCAGCACATTACAGGAACAAACCAGATAGCCAAAACTGCAAGTTTCCACCTGAAACTACAGGGATCTCTGTTTCCAAGTGACAGATGTTCTACAACAGTTGGTGACAAACGGGCTAATTTAGACTGATTTAACTAAAGTTCAGCCTGCTGACAATGGGGGATTTTTTTTTTAAATGCAGATGAAGAAGGGATTTCAGAATGCTGGCTGTTGCACACAAAACTACAGAGGCCCTGGTGTGAACTAAACAGCACGGCCATGCATGGTGCCTGTGTCTCTGCTTATCACACTGCTTTTTAGTTGCTGAGATGGAAGACATGGCCTAGCAAATTACCAAAGGAATTAACTCTGGTCTTTACAGTTTACTCACTGAACATATATTCTCAGAAATCAAATGCCCTTGTCCCAGAATCTTTCTTCCTAAGTTCAGAAATCTAGGCTCTTATATTAGAACAACAGGTGCCTTGGGGTGAACTGGTCTTCTGAGATGCTGAGCTTTCCATTACATATCCAGGAAGTTCCCAGCGACTGCTCTCCTAACCCTGGCAAGTCTCTGCCTTCAGCCTAACTTCTGAAGTATAATCACTGAAGGACCAGAAAAATATCACAGAAAAGCCTTTAGAGCTTTTTTTTTAATGTAAAGATTAGAGGTGTCATTCAGAAATTACAATGTAACAACTGCATTGTCTTCTCTCTGGTAAATTGTCTTGATTTTTGTTTTTAACTTGCATATGAGAGCTGGCTTCAGGCTCCACCCTTCTGAGTATCATAAAGCCTCTTGCTTGAGTAGCTATGAGTAGACATGTTAAAAACCAGCAACAATGAAATTAGTTTTCTTTCTCCTCTCTCCTCTCCTCTCCTCTCCTCTCCTCTCCTCTCCCTTCCCTTGTCCTCTCTTC